TATTAATTAATAATACTAATTTATCATAAATGATTTTTATAGCATTTAAAGTATTTCTATGCTTTGTTCATCATTTTAAAAAAAATTGAAATTTCAAACAAATTCTTTTAAATTATAATTATTATGATATTTGCCACATTTTTATGGTATTTCTAGTTATCCTATAATGATGATCATTATTCTAGGAACTTAATCATTTTACCCAACTTCTCTCTTCAACTTCAAATTTTGCTTCTTATCGGAAAGCACTGCAGGAGAGTTCGGGATCATTCTGTATTCCAATCATGTAAGCCTTAATATTTGATCAACAAAAGGTATTTCTCTTATCTTTGCGATTAAGGTTATGAATACAACTTCTCTACGATATTCATTTTCCTAAATAATACTTATTGTATTATTTAGTGATATATTTGACATTAATCAAAATTCGAACCAAAAATCAAAGTTCTTATTTTTAAAGTATTTTCACTAGCAATTTTCAATATTTATCAACCGTCAGGTGATCACTTTTAGGGGTGTCCATCTGAAAGATCTGATAAGTTTGCTGATAAAAAATAGAGACTCAGAACATTGCTGTTTTGTTTCGTGTCGAAAAATTCCATATTTAGCGGATCATTTATCGTATTTTGTCAATTTTAATCGTACTCCTCACAATTTTCCCGATGCTAATATTGATCTCATTGATACGCTCAAAGTATGAAAATCCTTCAAATTTTCTTGGAATTAAATTCCAACTTATTCGAACTTTTGATCTGAATATAAAGAAAAGGAATATACATAAAAGGACTTTTTAAACTATCATATTCGACTGTCACATTTTCTCAAGTATTTAACACATGGAATTAATTTCCAAATCTACAGCAATTAAATTTTTTCTGTTCTTTTCTTTTTTAAAAATGAAATTGTCGACAGGTTTCATTGGATATCAGGTATAACGAAGATGATATTTATCGCCTTTCTCTAAAACATGAACCTCGTACAATTCTTAGTGTAAGTTTATATTTGAAAGTGTTACTGTAAATATTATAACGAATAAACAGCCTAACAAGTTGTCTTTGTGTAAATAAAAGGAAAAAAATGCTAAGCAATAAAATCACTGACTTATTCTAAATACCAAATGACAGAATGTCAAAGAAAGTAGAACAAACTAAATTTCCTTTCCTTATATGTATATTTCATTATGTATAATAATTAATTATCACTTTCTATTTGTAGTTTCAAAGTTCAACAAAGTCGGTATTATTTGCTGATTGGGCATCAGGTGTGAGTAGTACGTTGGATTCAGAAATTGTTAACAAACATATTACCGCAATGGTGGAAGCTGTATTTAAAAATTATGATCACAATAAGGATGGTTCCATTTCTCAAAGTGAATTTCAACAAATTTCAACTAATTTTCCATTTATTGCTCCTTTTGGAGCTATCGACACTGATAAGTAATGTTTTGTTTCTTCTATATGCATTTATTAGTATTCTCTTAGACGAGAACAATTGAAATTCTAAGAAAATGTGAAGGAGGAATAAAAGGAAGTGGTTGTTTTCAACACTCATCAAAAATTTTCTAACATTTCTTCAAAATGATCAATTTATTGACGAAAATAAAATTCGAACTTTCATTATTACATTAGGGATAATATAAATGTTTCATTGCTAGTAAATCGAATACTAGCAATGGTAATTTTGAATGTGAAATAAGAATTGAAAATTTTATGAAATAATGTCCTGCAAGCGAAGTATATGACTTTTGTAGATAATAATGACATTAAGTTACTATTTTAAAAGTTTAATATCTAAATTCTACTAACAAAAATGATGTGTAAATAGTAATTCATATCATCTGTAAAATGTGAAATAACTCCAAAGAGTTGTAAAATAAACAAATATTTAATTTGATGTGAATTCACACATACACACACACACACACACACATACACACACACACACACACACACACACACACACACACACACACACACACATACACACACATATTTATATACACATACATACATACATGTACATACACACATATGCAACTGATTACATGACAAATTCCCAGTAATACTTTCTCGAATGATTATAACTGTTTGAATAAATGATTAAATCCTGGAATTTCTTTCTTAAATTTTAAAAACATAAAATGAGTCACTTAATTGCACAATTAGCAGAGAAATGTTTAATTTTTGCAGGGATGGAGTTATTAGTAAACCTGAAATGAATGCTTACTTTATCAAAATTTGCAAGCAATCTATAGATTTTCGCCGTGAATTTCAGCATAATTTTCATGAAACAACTTTTCTGACACCTGCAATATGTGCTCATTGCGATAAATTAGTAAGAAGTTATTATTTTCTAAAAAAAAAAAAAACAATTTTTCTGTTAATTAATGTAATGTTTATGATCATATTAGATGCAGTTGGTAGGTTGCTGTGATGTTTTCTTTAAAAAAGAAAAAAAAATTCCAAATATTCATTGTTGTTGAAAATTTCATATCAGAAATACTTAATTTCTTTTTTCAGAAATGTTTCATTTTTTTTAATTTTTACATCTTTACGACCAGTTTGCTTAATTTATAACGGATGACTTTTAAGATAGGATGAAAAGTAATATCTGAATATGTTGTAGTTATGGGGTATAATTCGACAAGGTTTCAAATGTCATGACTGTGGACTTACTGTACATCGAACTTGTAGAGGCAGTGTCGTTGTAGAGTGTCGTCGAATTAATAGCTGGAAAACTACAGTAACAGAATCGGCCAGAACGACCCGGAAGCTTTTACCTGGTATCAAGTACGTTTTAAAACTTTCATAATTTCAGTTTTATTTTTAACCTTCCAACAAATGACTTTCAAATTGCATTTCATTATTTTCATAGACCCATCACCAAGACCTTACCAACTTTTAGGTTGGAGGGAACGGTTATTGCTATGGGCCACGTTTGAAAGGTTTCCGTATGTTCGACGTCCGATAGTGGCGTCGCAAATGGTAGAAGTAACTCACTTAGTACTATCAGAACCAAACGTTACTGATAGTATTGGCATATGCGTTAGCAACTAAGTTGACGAGGTTACAATGACACATTTTGTTCACCCTTCCTCATCTATCTTCCCTCATATTACTCTGATCATCATTTTGGATTGGAAATTTCAAAGTTCAAAATTTCGATTTTGGCTTTAATTCTTATTTAAAGTATTCTTTTTTTTTTTGTTATCATATCTATAAATACTGTTTACATTCTGTGCAAAACAAAAATCTTCCATCATTTCCAGATCAATTTCTCGGATACGAGCAACAAGTGCCACATCAGAACATGATTCGACAGATGATACGACAACAGAGTGCTTCGCATCTGCAGCATGCAAAATGCTATTGCATCTACGACCTCATTCGAAAAAGAATCCCTCTCGTTTTGATGCAGGATGTTATTACCGGTAAATTAATTACTGAATATTTAAAAATTTGCTAATTAATCTTTAGAATTATTTTATTATTGTATTATTATTCGATGCTGTTCTGCTTTCACTTAATGAAGAATCATTAGTTACATCGTTGAATATTATGCTAAACATCTATTCGTTACCATTTTTTACAATCATTTTTAAAAATGTGATCAAGAAAGGAGTGGATTTACTGCTATTTCCTTGAATCAAACATAAAAGATAATTAGATATGGTTTAATTAAAATATTTAAGAGTAGCAAGTTCACCTGAATCACCAAATACAGATGATGTGGCACCATCTTTGGCGTGTGAAGAAGTATTCGAAGATGAATCTTCATGCATATCTCTTTCCGAAATGAATGATTCAAGTAGTACTTTACAGTGATCGATGAATATTTTTTAAAATTTATATATTTTGTTCAAATTTGTTAGATTATTGATTAGAGTAGCTTTATTTCAATTTAATTTGTTATGAAATTAGTTTTAATCTCATTATCCTTAAGTGCAGGGGAAAAAAAGGATCGTTTTCCGAATTATAACTTGTACGTATTGCTAAGTTTCTTATGACGGTAAGCTTTAATGAACCAAATAGATCAACGGTTTATCAAATTTCATTCAATCGTATTCGAATCTACTAAGAGATCCCTGCCACTCAATACGTCAGATCAATGTATTCAATACCGTTTTATTGATCCTTCAGAAAAATAAATATTTTTAGTTTCTTGATTTAGAAATAAAATTGCTCTATTCTTTTACAATGCGATATTGCCAGATTATATATATATTAATTTACAGTTAAACCAAAGTATTGAAATATTGAAATCTGTAATTACAAATTGATATGTAAATTGTGATGCATGCTGTCGTTTATTACGGGTATATTTTTGATTAATTTATTGATCACTTTATTCTATGCTACTGTTTTTTCTTTGAATCATTGTTCCGGTAAAATCTTTTGAAAACTGACTTTTGTATGAGTAATAACAAGTAGTATGTTATTATTTGTTTAAGCTGTTTGATAATATTGAGAATTTCATTGAAAAAACTCTGTGATTCTAACAAACTATTACGACTCACATCATGAGAAACATCAATTTGAATTCATTTGTAGTATTTACTAAGCGAAAAAAATTATAAATTTGACTCAAAATTTGAATCGACAATTAGCCAAGAAAAACAACTTGGTGATCTTCCATTGTAAGTTATGAAATTAATGTGGTAAAAGTATATTAAGGCTGTTTTTCTCGACATTGGAAGTTAGGAAATTAAATGATTAAAGAGGAAGAGATTAGCATGAAAGACAGATACTAAGATGAATTTAGATCAAAGTAGTGAGTCAGATTAAAGATGATTTGGTAAGAATGAAGAACCGCGGTACTGGCTAATCACTGAATAGCTTGAAGTGGCGGTGACGGTGACGGTAATGGTGAGGTGACATGTGTTGTGGAAGAGAGAGGGAAAGACAAAAAGTGAAGAGATCTGACCGATCGTGTGCAACCTCTGGTTGAAAACAGGCGGTTTCTGGAGAGAAGAGGAGAGAGGAGGGGAATAGCATCAACAAATGTCGTTAATTATATCCACTATTGATTCAATGCATACCACTACTGAAACAACGTTCATTCCGGTTTTACTATTAACCTTCCTGAATTGTCCTTTCTTTGCTGGATCCGAAATTTGCTATCGATGTGCTAACGAATTCATTGTTATGGTTTGATGTTTTCTTCTTTTTGAATTTATTTTAAATGAGCTTTCTTTGATGTGCCTGTCAAATGAGTAGAGATAAAAAGAATTGTTTGTTAGCTGACTAATACTAGGCTTTTCGAACTGACCATTCTTGACCTATTATATGTCTTGGTCATCATCCACTATGTGTTATGTTTCGGTCATTATTTGCTATATAATAAATTATTTTTGCTCTAAGCAAATTGTTTCACATGGATTTTTTTCAAATGTTGTCAACAGTTGCATAAGTAGTATTACTTAAAAGCTTATTATGTAGCTAATTTTTCATTGTTTTAATAACTGCATTAATTTTTCTGAAAATTTCAGTATTGGGGACATTTTCTCCCAATTCAAGCAGATGATGAATTGGTTGCCGATTCGATATGTATAAAAATTAATGAAAGATCAGAAGAAGTACAATGTGTTGGTCCATGTTTAACATTGAATGTCACCATTGGTGAAGGTAACAGAACTCGAGTTATAGGTATATGTTACTCCCTTTCACTTCTATCAATTAATAAATTGGATTTATGCAAAGGGATATCATCCAATAGTACGGTTTTCAATTTAATGAATTATCTAAATACTAACAGTGATTTTCTTCAGTAATTTTAGTACTTAAATTTTAAAAAGTTGATTAATTTTTATTAATTCTTTGGAAACAAATATGATAAATTCTTGATGATATTTGAATCAAGCATAAAGCATAACTATGTGGTGATCAAAAACTTTTCTGCTGTTTGGTTTAGGAATGATGCGAGATTGCCAAAAAAAATATTACAGTCGGAATTCGGATAACGATATTGGAAATCGAAGATGCCGAAATCAAACGATCAAAGTTCGCCAACATATGCTGAATGCTGAATATTGCTTTTGTTTGGGTAGTTACTGTAACGGCGATGGTGATCGAATTGACAGGTCAGTGAGTGAATCCCGGAAAAGACAGAAATATACGAAAATTGGAAATGAAGGACGGAATGGTACCAATATGAGATGGTCCTTGTGTGATGTTCAGTGTTTGATACTTGTTTATGTAGTATATTTGAAATTACATTTGGTTAGTTTGTAGAATATGTGAGTGATATGCAGGATGCATTATTCTTCGATATTGTTGCATGGTTGTGTGTTGATTTGTACTCTGACTGTTTGCAAAATATAATATGAACTGGCCCATAGCAACTTTATAAACCGGAAATAATATGAAATGGAAGATTGGGAGCTCCTTTCCATCTGGAAGGAAAAGGAGAGGCTCACCTTTCATTCACCCTCTTCTGTCCCATTTCCCGATATAGAGGATGTTGTATCGTCTTATCCAGTTGACTTATATCTAAAAGCATGGGCGCCATCTCTTCTTGATCTGAACAATTCGTGCTACCTACCTTAAAGATTCCACTGAAAAGATTTTAAGTAATCTCATTTTTCTAATCGCTCTTCAGAGCTTATTCAGTTGCTTTAACATTGCAAATACAATCATTCTTCCTATTGAGTTCTAACGCAAACCAATGCTACGCCATTTTATTCTCTTTATTGTTTAATATCGCTGGCAGCGAATGTCACGTCACGTCACGTCACGTTTGAATCTCTTAATATCAATCAATGGTCATAGCTAATTTGCTGACATCAAAAGGTACCATCTCCAGTCTCTATTTTGCAAAGTTTGTTTCCTTTAGTTTTTTTTTTTTTTTTTTTGCTCTGAAATGTAAGAAAATGAATGTGTAACAAACTTAAGAGCTTTAATGAACTTTTCTGTAATACCTCGTTAAGGTGTTAGCATCCGTTGATGTGACAATAAATTATTCCTCTTTTTTTCGCTGCAACTCACTTCTTCCACTCCTTTTTCAACCAGATTCCGAATATTTCTAAGAGTACTATTTGAGTGGATCTAGATTAAATCTGAAGAAATTCTGCTATCGGCCCGACTACAAGACAGCGAAATTATTTGTTAAATATGAAAGAGTTCATTTTAAAAGCCAGTAATGTTCGTCATCTCTTTGTTGATTAATATTTCAAAAATTTTTCTATGCTAATTGATTATTCCTGATGACTGACCTTTCTAGCTCACAACTGATTAAATTCTTCACTTCCGTACTAATGTTGTTAACTACTAGTCGGAGAACGGGATGTTCCAGAATGATAGTCTAAGCTTAAAGAAAGACTGTTATCACTTTATATTTCGGTTGATAATGTAAAGTAATAGCAGTCGCACTTTAGAAGGAACTTGTAATTAAACATGTGAGAACGGACCAAAGAATAAATGTGATAAGGAAGTAACCCTCATCAGTAATCATTAATAACAATCTCTCTCCCTCCTCCTCTTTCTCTCCCTCTCCTTTCTTCCCTACCTCCTCTTCCGTCAATCATTAAGTCATATCTGAGAGTAAAAAACCGGTTGGAATGATCTAAACATTCCGGCACGAAAAGCGCTGCAACAAGAGGAATGGTACCGAAAACATAAATTTGGGATACCGTAGTGAGCTAGTTGGTGACGTTAAGTTGTCGTTGTGTACTTCTCTTATGCATTGATTTTCCGGGGCAGGAATGAATGAATAGTTCAGGTCACATTGATTTATTCAGGTTATCGGTTCTAAATGAGATAGATAAAGTACTGCTTACCTGAGATGATTTCAAATATGATAACATGATGAGAGTTCTGTGTCTGTTTAGTTTTTTGTTTTTTCCATGTTAATCATGCATTTGCAGTATTTTTCTGTCTAGTTTTACCATTATTTCTGGTTCCGGATTTATCCGTTCAAATTCTTAAACTTCTTTATTTTAAATGACTCGTATTTCTATTGGTTTCAGGAAACAGTAGGATTATTTGTATTAGTAATGTCAGATCCAGTTGCGGAATTTTTGGCACGTGAGCAAAATGTTCTAGCTGGTATACAAGACGATTCGCTAGGAACCAGTCCTCCTCCGTACGTCAATAGTAATGATGCAGTTGATAACGGTATGTGTTAGGGTGAAGGAAATCTCTTCTATTTCTTTTTTATTTTTTTTTTTTTCTGTTGCGTAACTATGAGACATGCGTTGACATCAGGAACAGTTTAGGTTGAATGCAGGATGAGATCAGTGTGGTATTTTCAGCCAAAACTTGTCGAAAGAGGAAGTAGGAACTTTTAGAAAGTGATAAAGAATTTTATGAAGTTATCTTCGTAAAGTCTCGATTGGTGTACACTCGAAATAGCTATTTATTTTGGATTTAGTTCTTTGGTGACATTTATAAAATGGAAGAATTTCTTAGTTGGATGGATTGTGCCGATGTGATTATTAAATTTATTTTTGAACATATTTTGAACTTTAGGAAATGATACTGCTTGTGTAAACGAAACCCGTTTATTAAGCGGGACTAGTGATTCCGGTTTGGATCTTCCAACACTAGCAAATGGTGTGCGGCGTTTAAGCACGACTCCATCACCTTCTCTTGCAGCGATGAATAATGTGTCGAAACCAGAACCGGAGAAAATAAAGAAATGGCGAGAAGAACAGAAAATAATGTTAGAGAAGAAAGGTATGAGTCGTTTGATTTTTTTCTATCTTGGACAAGAAAAGTTAGGTAACATTTTTTTTTTTTCAAACTTATTCATGAGAGTATAAAGGATATTTCGAAAATTTTTGCTGTGAGTAGGCAGTGTTAATTACATAACGGGTGATATTACATTAAAAAAACTAAATATTATTCACTCCGATAATGTGTGATTGCCGTTTGAGAATATGAAAATTTTATTCCTGATACAACAGCCATAATGCACTGAACTTTGCATTCATTAGTGAACTGATTGTAATTTGTTTATTTAGTGGTTAAGAAGAAAAAAAAATTTTTTTTTTTGATATCAGGAAAAAACTTTTTGAATAACTGTAATGGGAATATCGCGAAAAAGTGAGAAACTGGTAGCATATGATGTATATTACTTTGCATATTTGTTTAGAGATAGTGCTTTTGTAGCAGATTGTTTATACAACATGTTATAAACAGAAATTTTTATACGAAATTAACATTTATCGGTTTTTTCCACAGATAAAAATGAAGAGAGAAAGAAGGAGGAAATGAGAGCTGCTGGTAAAAAAGAATTAGAAGAATGGTATGCGCAAAGGGCAGAAAGACTTGCAAAAACCAGGGCAGTCAATCGGTATTTATTTTTTTTTTCAAAATTTTCTACTTATTCTGTTTATAAAGGTAGATGATATAGATGTAGATGATTTTTTAAAAATAAATGATGTTTTATTTATTTAAGTTCTGTAGTGTACCATGATTAGTGAAAGAGATGTAAATTACACTGTTTGAATAACGTAAAAATTTCTCATCTGTTAAAAACGTAGAAAAGGCGGACTCATTCATTTTCGGACTGAGTTTGTCGATAGTGTTCAATTTGCTCAATACCTGACTGATTCAAAGAACCAAAAAGACAAAAATGTCGTCATTCTCTGTATAGTATGTAGAATTTGAATAACAGTTTTTGCACCTCGTTCCAGCTTCTCATTAATCTGGTATTAATGTCGTCTGTTGTTAAGCATTTCTTTATAAATTTGAAGGAAAGCCGAAGAAGATTTCATTTCTGATCGTGAGGCTTTCAAAGATGGAGCCGAATGGGAACGTATTGCAAAATTATGCGAATTCAGTGGTAAAAATTCGAAAACATCAAGTGATTTATCACGATTAAGGACTCTTCTTCTTAAACTTAAAACGCAGAAGGAATAATTATATGGATTGTATTTTTTGAAGGTGCTAGTCGTATGCTTTTCCCCAATGATTCCATAATGATGAATGTTTTCCTTCTGTAGAACTTTCATTATGTTTTTAAAAATCTGTTTTACCAATTCTAATATTTTCAAAATTCAGTTCAGTTACTTCCTGAAGTATATGTTATTATAATTGTTTTGGATTTTGTCGTCCTTGAATGCATAAGGTTAATGCTTTGAAACGACATGAACTTAGACCCAAAATGTAATGCTACGAACCCATTTGCAGAACTTTTGCTGAGTTTTCGATGTAGCAAGCTTATGTGATTGAATATTCAAGTCTTGTCACTATGATATTTATTTCTCGTTTTTTTTTTCTTTTTTTTTTGTCGGAAGAATCTTTTGATTTTGTGAAGTTAAATCCTGACAATGCATAATGTCGGACATTGGGATCGGAACCGGTCGTCCTTTCCAATCTTGGTCTTTTGCTTTCAAGTGGTAGTTCTGTTCGCATTCCCGTTTTTTTTTTTTTTTCACGAGCCAACATTTACATTAGTGAGCTTTCCGTGCTGATTTGCTGAGCCCATAGAATGAGGTATGTGATACATAACGACGGATGATATTGACGGTTTCAGGAACGGAATATTGAGGGCATCTATTTCATTAATTTTCCGTGAAATTTGGTAGTTTTATACTGATGTAAAATCATGGATAGATATTCATCCGCTTTTTTCATGAAATGACAGCTTTTTGTTTTGTTTTTATCTCTATTCACATCACTCCTTTACACAGACATATCGCGACAATGGTTTACTACATTGATCTGAATTATTCTCCCGTGCAGTACCGGCATAATTGGCTTACTGTATCTATGTAGTTCTTCATAAAGGCGTTATGGTAAAAATAGTTCCGATGCTTTTTGCTTGCACAACTAATGAATGGCTTATCGTGATTCTTTCATAATTTTTTAAATTTTGTTATAAATTTTTTTTTGTACTATTTATAAGCATCATCTCTTTCATTTTTAAGCAGAATACTTGAAAGTTTTCTTTTTTTTTTTTCTAAATTCACTTGTTCTTTCTTCCCTTAGGTCCATATGTGTTTTTCACTGTTTCTTGCCTGCATTTTTTCTTTTCTTCTTTCCATAAAAGAAAGGAAAAAGGTGATTCGTTATGGTCGAATAAAAATATCATTTGTCGCAAAACAATTTTTAAAAAATTCTAATTTCGATTAGAGAAAATTTGGTTGTTTGGTTGATATCCAGAAAAATTTATTTTAATTATTTCCCCTTTTTTATTCATTCTTAGTTTAATTGAATCGATTTAAGAGTTTTGCAATATTTTCATTGGTATAGTATCACGAATGATGCTAAATGAACGGTTTCAACTAGTTTGAAAAGTATTTTCGTGACGAAAGTGAAGGGCATTGCTAGTTCATCCTAGGAATTTGTTGTGATATTTAAGGCTTAATATTTAATGAGTAGTTTTAGGACAGGAACCTGTTTCATTTCCAGTTACTGGTCAAGTTTTTATCTGTTCTACTAATAGGTTTCATAATATAATGCGTTAGTGAATGACTCCTCTGTAATATGACTTTGAGTTGGTAGAAAAGTAACGGTTTGCTGAATTATGTTATTTCATATTAGGCGAATACATCTGTCATTAGTATAACTCATTTATGATATTAGGTTTTTGGCTTGTAGCTTATTTATTACTTATTTAGATTAAGGAAATGGTATTAGGTGAAATCAACTTCTAGTGATTTCCTTTATTAATTTTAAAGTTGTTCGTAAGCTCCTGAGGCATCTTTCAATATCAACAATGAATTTGGCATGAGAGTTACTTATGGGTTGCAGTGCTGCAGTGCACTATTAGTTAATTTTTTTAAAGCAAACAAGAACACTGGACTGTAGTACTGCAGTGTTCATTGGATTGTCAGGTTGATATCAGTAATGGGAACTGTTAATTAAACTTATTGAGAGCTGTCCGATGATCATCCGTCAATCCTTCCGAAATGGAGATCAGTTTACAAGTTTGTCAGAGAACTTATAGGTTGACCTTTGATCAAAAGCGTTTTCATTTTGAGGTGTGATCTTGTGCAACGCAAAGAACGACTTTCTCGATTGGGTTGTTGACGGATAATTAAAGATGGACAATCGTAACGGCTATTTTAATTGTTTGAAAGTCCTAACTCACTTCTCAAAATAAAGCTTGTACAGGAAAAGATTTTAGTTATTTTCAGAATTTTATAAAATCATTAGGAACTGCTGATCAGTGTGTAGTGCAATGCTTTCAGATTTGTAATGGTCAGTGAAAGGATCTAATTTTGTACTACAGCTGACCAAACGTTCGAATATTAACACCTTTTGGATAAATATGCCATAATCACTCGTCGAACCCTTTATCAACCTTTGCTGAGTTCGTAGAATCCAAAACACGAAGTTTCTGTACTGTGAAAACAAATCTGTTGCTTTTCGATAAGAATGTGTTAAGTGTTGCATTTCGAGTTTCTTTCTGACAAAATTATTGTTAAGCCGTTGTAATTGCAAATTTAAACTCCGAAACTGTTATTACTTTTGCATCAGCCTAATATAGATGTGATAAGGCTGAAAACGGCTATATCTATTTGGTATTGTTTAGTTCTAACTGCTGTCGATGCTTATTTCAATGAGTATGTGTGTGTGTATCAAAATCACTTTGGATCCGATTAAAAAAAATGCTATCCTAAATCTTTTCCGGAACCGCAAATGACTGAAAGCTGCAATATAGTAGGTAAGCTTCGCATGAGCACGTTTCATGTTTCTCGGGGTCGCCTTGCTTTTTATGTGTGTTTTTTTTTTTTTGATTTTTATGTATTTTCATGTGTTTTTGTTGAACATTTTCGGACTGAACTCAATAAACTATAACAATAAGTTTTATCAGTTTATAAAAACTTTGGTGGTAGAGAATGGTGGTAGTGATATCTTTATTTTTCTTTCAGTTACGTCGTTCCTGTGATTTCGTGCATATAAATTATTTCAATCAGAAATTGGTCTGGATGTTGTTCACTTTGATCCACACACTTGTTCCGGATCATACTAGAATTTGAGCTGTCTCAAAGGGTGATGGATTCATTCTTTTTTGCAGATGTGGCTGACACCAGTCCAAACGTCTTGGAACTATCAGCATTGCTGGATAAGCAAAACAAAATGCTGTCAGCATTGCTTGGTGAATTGGAGACCTGTAAATCAGAATTGCTTATCCTTCGAAACGGAAACTCCCAACAGATCAACAGTAATGATACGAAGAATAAGGTAAATTTCAATGGTATTCAGTCGCTGCCTATTTTGTGCATCTGGTTCCAATTTTCAAAGTTGATAAGTAATTAAAACCAGATCTCGAAGTTGAGTATTTGTGTGTATGTGGTTCACTGTCTGTTCAATTTTTCGAAAATACAGTGGTTATTGTTAACTCCAGCTGCTTGCAGAAACTGGCATATGCAGAGAATTTGTTCAAAGAAGCTCCGAAAATTGGAGGAGTCTTGCCTAATGAAGCTGAAAAGTCACTGATAGTAGAGAATTGTTTGGAAGAGATAAAAAAAGCACGTCTCAAAGCAGATAATTTATCAGAAGAACTAGAAATTAAAAAAACGGAATTAACCCATGCAGTTGAGGCAGATTCATTAAAACAGGTTTGTATTGTAGAACTAACTGATATATCTAATTGACTTATAGATCTTTTACGGGCACAAAGTATGCATTGTAAACTGAATTCAGCAATTCACTAATAGGATATAATTCATATTATACCTCTGTAAATTCCTTGTTGAAAATAGGATAAAACGATTTTCAGGCTCATATTGACCACTTGAATGAACTGATGGAAAAAGAACGTGAAGCAAGGAATAACGAATTTTCACAACTAAATAGTCATTTGGTTGGTAAAGTGGAAGAATGTGATCAGTTAAATGCAGAAAACAAAACCATGAAGGTAAACTTTTTGTCGTCCAGTTAATTTATAGAACATTTTCAATTTATTATCGTTTTCCTCTACTGAGGTTACAGTGGGATGTATTTGTATAACTTTTTCACAAATTTACAACTGCTAAATCACGAGAACTAACAAACTGTACCTCATCCACGTGAAATTAGGCTCAATTTTTATTGCATAAAATGTTGCATTTTATGAAGTTATGAATTCTCTTCTTTCCAACCATTAACTTTACATTTTATTTAAGTTCCCTTCCATTTTCGTCATGACTTCGTCATAGTCATCAACCAGTTGTTTAGTTAGTACATTAGTTTCAAAGATTCTCTATTTCATATTGTATTTATTCTTTTTTTTGCTAACTTTGTTTGTAATTTTTTATTTATTCATGAGCTTCACCAACTGTTGAATGATGTTGTAAATTAGAAGGATGACGTTTCTATAAATATTTCCATCATTTGTTATCCGAGTATTTTCAGGCACAGTTGAAAATGTTGGAGGATTCGATTGTCGCCAAAGAAAAACTTCTAAATGATCTTACAAAGGCTGCTGCGAAAGAATTGGCAAAACGCGACGAAGAAGATAAATTGCTTGCAGCAAGACTATCCATTTTAGCTGATGAAAACATGACATTACGCACTTCACTTCTTACTTTGGGTGCAAATGAAATGTCACCACGTTAGTAAACTTCTACAATATGAATGAAAGATTTCTTGTTAACTGTAGACTGTTAAGATGAGTGAATCAGGAACAGACAAATTCCTTTGAGCATTAAAGAAGATTGTGAAATCATTTTCCAAATATCAGACCGTACAGATTATGTTTCGTGAATCTGTAATTTGAGTCTAATGCTGACGTTTTGTGTTATTCCGCATTTCTTTCTTGAAGTTCTGTTTTTTGCTGGTACACATTTAATTTTCCAGAATCAAAAAAACTTCTAGAACAGCAACGGGATTTTATCGAAACACTGAAGTCTGAATGTGAAATTCTAATGAATCGTTTGGTAAAAGAACGAGATGAGCATAGGTGATCAAAGATTTTTCAAATTTTTCACAAGAATTGGAAGAGAAGTTGAGCATCACTTGTCATCACTTACTGCCATTTTGTAGGAAGGAGCGGAGACAACTAAGACGACAAATACGTAATCTCAACACACGTCTTGAATGCCTTATATCTGGAAAACAAGAAATAATTAATGCATAATTTGTTAGAATTTTTTTTTATTTGTATATCAGGAGTTGAATGCCTTGAATTCTTGAAAACAAAATCCATATTTTCATGCAAATTATTTTTGTTTGAAAGGCTCAATTCTTGCTAATTTTTAACTTCTTGACTTTTTAATTGTTGTTATATTCCTCACAGATTGGGGAAAAACTCTATAAGAATGTTGTAAGAAACTTATGTAAAGCTCTTCATTCATGATATACGACAGCCATAATAGTTCATTTAGACTACAATTGCAAAGAAAGTTGAGCTTTTTACTAGAAATGATAAGCACTATTTAAAATAAGCATTCATTTCTTGTAGGTTCGGTCAGTGCAACAGTTTTTCACAAATGAAACTGATTCGTCATTATCATAAATAATAGTAATCGTAGCTATGACTTTTGATCGAGCATTGGTCTTGTCCAACGTATAAACAGTCACGAAGGAATCTCCAGTAAATATTTCGATTATTTCTGATAATTATGTTGGTAATGTTTGTGACAATATTGTTATTATGAAGATTATTGAGAAAAGTATATGGATGGAAATTTGTTGAAAAAAATAATAGGAAATAAAATTTACCTTTGATATGATTTTCCATGCTATATAAAAGGATGCATTCCAGCTTACTATGTTTCCTTGATTCAGTTATTATTGTTACGTCATGAGATTTACCAAGCATGTTCTCATGATTTCCTTATACTATTATTCTGTCTGCTTTTTTGATAGTATCGTTTGGATAGCTTAATCATTGTGTCATTTTTGCTAGAAGTTTCTGAAATTGATAGAAATAGTTCGTGCAGTTTGGTAGCGAAAAGAAGTGATTTACTGCATCAAAAAATATGCCACATCGGAGGGATTTTTCCCACATTCAACTGAAAAGGAGAGAAATCATAGCTGTCAAACCACGTGGAAAAGGAAAGAAATGATGATTCGTTAATATGATGTTAATGATGTTGTATGTGAGTAAGCACTAACCATAAACAATTTTAATATTACTAAGTTTGAATATGAACGAGTGAGAAACCTTGTGCATTGTCTAACAATACAGGGCGGTTGCAAAATAGCTTAACTTCAATCCACTTATTTTCTACAATGTCCAGAGATACCAAATATTAGACACTTCAAATTTTAAATTTCTTGATTAATGTTGCTTTTGAGTGATGTCGAAAGTTGGGAATTTCATATTATTATATTCAGTAATTTCAATTAGTTAAAGGATATAAAGTAGGGTGATTTTTTTCCAAATATATCACTTATAGCAAATACAAGAAAACGATTATAACATCGTTCTCTTGTAGTTACTCCATAACCTTTTTCCCTGTATTTGGAAACTTTTGAATATGAATTATCAAATATGTTTCCTTCTTATGGATGATGCTGAAATTAAATAGTGATGGCAGTGCACGGCACTTCATTTTATACTGGTTACTGAATGGAAGGGACGATGCTGTTGACCTCACCGCGAGGGAGTAGGATTAGGTTGCTCAAAAAACGAAAGTTTGAAATCACTTCATTACCAATAAACCTAGAAAAACAACGTCCTTGATAGATCATTATTTTGAAACTCAGCCGATATATAATTTTAGAATCCTGTTAATTAAAATCGGAAATATGTAGTGTGTTAATGTGTACCTTTTCATTAGGCTTTTGAGTGCATAGGAGTGCATTGCAGGAATGACGTCTGAACATATTGTTTCCACCATCTTGGAAAATGTCGATGGAATAACGGATTTGGCCCAACGAGCTTTGAAAATTAAGGATGAAGCTAATCAGTTTTTTCACGGTGATTTGTTTTTTTTTTTTTTTTTGATTTGAACCATATGATCAGAAGAATGCATGTAACCTGTGATAGTTTTTCTTTCTTTTTTTTAAGATTATGTTTAGTGTGATTTTGCGCACTATGTGATAATATTTGAATAACATCAAGAATAGTTAGACTGTGATATTAACATTAAACTATACATAAATGAATGCAGTAAATATTGAGTAATCTTAAATAAAATTCTTTTCTTTATCAGTACATTTGATTAATGCTATCATTACAGACCAGGCATACGATGTTGCAATTGAGCTGTATACAAAAGCAATCGAACTGGATGACCAGCAAGCTTTGTTTTATGGCAATCGGAGCATGGCTTATTTGAAGAAAGAATTATATGGCAGTGCACTAGAAGATGCAAATATGGCCTTGAAATTAGATCCTGGTTACTCGAAGGGTTATTACAGACGTGCAACAGCCTATATGGCTTTAGGAAAATTAAAACTTGCTCTAAAGGATTATGATACGGTATTTTCCTATCTTCAAAAATTTTATTTTCATCTCATATCATGGTACTAATAGTGTGTAATAGTAAAGAGTGTGTGTGACCCATGAAGGGTGGATGATTTGTAGCGAAGGATTAGTCGACTTCACTAATATGGAATTTACATCTTTAATGGGTTAAACTATATAATTTTTCACTTGAATTAATCATAATGGTTTGTGTTAGTGAAGCGATTTATTAGTTCACTAATAGTTCACTAATGTTTGTGGTGATGGATTTATGAGAGTAGAAAATAATCGTATATAGTTGGATAGAATGCTAATTAGAAAAGCTTTTATGAAGAAAATGAAAGTACTAGCTGAATAAATTCTACTTTTAGAAACTTTTGCACTAGTAATGGTCTATATTTTTAGATTAAAATTCATGGTCTTATGTTTTTAGATAAAAATTATGTAAATGTTTCTGAATAGATTCAAGGTACAGATTAGGAAATGGAAAAAATTGGTGCTAACCATCTTGCTTCACCTCACTCTTCTTCGGTACTTCTCTTATTTGCTGTTGTTTTCGTCTCATTTTAACTGAAACCGAAAACAGTTGTAAATGGCAATGGAATTTTTTATGATGAAGAAGTATGAAATGTCAATAACAAAGGTTGATGTTGATCTTATCTGGATAATATGAATAGAAACAGTTGTGTATTATTTCGAGTGATCATTACATTGCAGATACGTAAAGCAGTACCGAATAATGCTGATGCTAAACAGAAATATGATGAATGCCAAAAACTTATGCGAAAGATAGCATTTGAGAAAGCAATATCGGTGGATCATGATAAGCGCAGCATTGCGGAATCTATAAATGTTGATACCATTGGTTATAGTTTCCCTTCTTTTTTCCTCCATTTAAATGATTTAAAAATGCAAAAATTGACTTAACTGCACGAAGGTTGTTGTGGAATAATTTAAACATTACAGGATCAGATAGTTCAACCAAATTCAGAAGTTTTAAGACATATTAAAGAAACATGGATACATTTCTTTTTAGAAGTGGAAGCAACATATGATGGGCCTGTTCTCGAGAATGATATCACGTTAGAATTTATGAAGGAACTGATCGAAACATTTAAAGCAGAAAAGAAGCTACACAGAAAATATGCTTATAAGGTTCCGTTTTCTTGAACTATTGTTTATTGTATGAATTTCGATTTTCATATTTTTCAATTTGTTCATTTCTGATATATATATATATATATTTGACACCTATTTGGAATATGCTTTTTTCGAGATCTCGACCAAGACATATTTGCTTCATTTACCCTCAAAACTTGCATGCTTTTCTCTTTAAATTGTATTTAAGATATATTTTCTTTGCTTTTTCATTCCATAACATCCGGCATATTTTTCATAAATGTTTTGATGTTTCAGCATGTAATTTCTGTTTTCCAGATACTTCTTGCAATTAGGCGATTGTTTGGTGAATTACCAACACTAGTTGAAATTACAGTACCACCGGAAAAGAAATTTACAATTTGTGGTGATATTCATGGACAATTCTATGATCTGTGCAATATATTTGCTTTGAATGGATTGCCTTCAGAAACTAATCCATACGTAGGTTTTACATATTAACTGAACTATTAATCTGATTGCAGGAAAAATCAAAATTATGTCTGGTATATTTTTTTTAGCTTTTCAATGGTGATTTTGTTGATCGCGGCTCATTCTCAGTTGAGACGATATTTACTTTGTTTGGATTTAAGCTTTTATACCCTGAGCACTTTTTCATGTCACGAGGTTTGCTATATTTTATTAATATTCTTGTGATCTAGTAGAAAGCCAGTTATTTTTCTTTGCTAAAAAAACTTGGTTCAAATACAGCCAAAATGCAATGTTCCGACGAAGTGTGAAATCTAGAACCAGAAATTTTTGTAACATTTATCACGGTGAAAGCTTTTATTGCATATATAACTTTTGTAGGTAATCACGAAAGTGACGTAATGAACAAGATGTATGGTTTCGAGGGTGAAGTGAAAAGCAAATATACAGCTCAAATGGCAGATTTTTTTACGGAGATTTTTGATTACTTACCGCTTTGTCACTTAATCAATAATAAAATATTTGTAAGTGATTTCTGATCGAATTTATTTCAGGAATTGACTTGAAATTCTTCCCCCTAAAAACTTTGATATATTTTGTTGGATCTAACTGCACAGTCGAGCTTGTTTTATTGATAACCAAAACGCTAGCTTTTTTCATGAATTGAAATGTATACATTTTTGATGTATTTGAATAATTCTTTACTCCTCTCACTTATCTGTATTTTCATCTCAGTTATCTCAAAGATAAGTATTTCAGTAATATTTGTTAAGAAGATTTGTACTCTCCGTTCTTTCATAGTAACTTTAAAACTGATTAGGAGTTAGGTATTTGCATACTTTTGGCAAAATATTTTCATTCATTGTACTACTTAATAGTACAACAATAATTGTACAGTTAAAAAATATGATTTTATATATAAAAAATGATGAGGTACTGTACTTCCTGTAAGTTTGCCTGATTTTCACAGATATTTTTTTCTCTGTTTCCAATTGGCTGATGTTTGAATTAAATTCAGGTTTGCCATGGAGGTTTATTTAAAGATGACGACGTCACCATGAATGATATAAAAAAGACAAATCGGGTTCGCCAACCACCAGATGACGGTTAGTTCTCCAACAATTTTTGAAACATTT